GGAAAAGTTAACTCAAAGTTTTAGCAAATCATATCTTAGTATATAAAGAAGAATGCGCACGATGAGAACGCGACACGTAAGCAAAATTCTTATTGATCTAATCGTGACATGTGTTTATGAGTGGCCCCATTTTTTATTTTGTTTATGGCCCAATGTTTTTCAGGGTCGGCCCTAGGAGTAGGATACGAGAACATCATCATTTTCTTCATTCTTCTTATCGCGTCTTAACGAATATTTTAACTACCCGCCACATTTAGCTAACAATGACATTTTTGGGCTTATGATCTTAGAAAATAAACAATTTCTTCGTTTATGTACATAATAATGACTAGTAACATGCAAATACATACAAGACCAATTAACATGTATTATCGGACATCTTTCGCAGTTTCTTTTTCGAGATCACAAACTGGAACCCAATCAGCTACAAGCCACTTATGGATAATATCTTTCCACAACAACATAGAAGAGAACAATCGGCAAAAAAGAAGTATGAAAATGAAGCTACTAAGTTCGAGATAGCCATGAGAAGTTCCACGGAAAAAGGTACCGATGAGGTGTTTGGTTAACCCGAATAGGAAAGTCAATAGCCACTGAACTTTATATGCACAACAAAATGATATTAAATGGTTATACATCTTGTTTGAAAAAAAAAATGATTATTGTATTATAGTTTAACTTTTTTTTTWAAATAGAGCATGATACTAAATAGTTAAACAAAAAGCCAAACAAATCACTATTTATGGTAGTTTTGTTTTAAGTTGCTTAGGTCTTCATAAACCTATGCTCAACACTGAATGTTTGTCTTGAAAATTGTCTTAGAGTTTTCTTCGTCAATACAGTAACTTTTCATTGTTTTTCTCTCTTTTTAGTTTTTTTTCATGTCTGCTCTCATTTATATTCCAAAAGGTGTTTCTAACTCTATCCTTCAAACCATCAAAATACATTTCTAAAATTGGTTTTGAAGAGGTTGGAGTGAGCCGAGATCTTGTCACGAAATACCAGTAGTTGTTGGGTGGAAATGAATCATGTCCCTCATGTACCTTGTTAATAGGATCAGTTCCATAGAAATCGTTGTCAAGAATGAGTGAACCATCGGGTAATTGGTTCTCGCATTTCGGTACGAAAAAGTCTTGGAATATCTCCAGAACATTTGGACCGAAGTGAATAATTGCGTTATTCATAGCTGGAAAAAGAAATCTTAATCAGTTTCAAGACAAACAACCAACCACATTAGTTTCGTCAATTCCATCAAATAGCCAGAACGAGTGTTGTCTGTAAAAGGACATTGAGATCTTCTCGAGACAAAGTATAGGAATAATAAGCACATTGAAACTCTAGATCAAAGCACATCGAAATTACAGACAAAAACAGATCTGCTTGAGACAAAGCATAGTTCGCTAGAGATCCTAATTCATTTGCTCTAAATCTAATCATCCACACAAAAAGAGAACTAACCTCAGAATCAGACACAAATCACAACGATATTACAGAGAAAACTACCGAGATCTGCGCGAACCCTAACAGCGAAACCTAGAGCACTAACATTGAAGCTCTGGGAGATCAAACAATGGTACGAGCGCGAGAAAAAAGAGAGGTGGGATGTGTGGGGTTTCGTTTTATATAATCGGACGAAAATACCCTCAACTTGTAAAGGAGCTTTTCCCCTTTTTAGTTAAACACTCGATTAGTTAATTAAATGACCCTCCGTTTTCTAAGGGTTTCTGGTAGTTAAATATACCTAATTAAGTATTTAATGAAACAAAAAATTTGGTAAATATCGTACAAAATGTTTTAATTTGTTTAAAATACAATTTTATTGTAGATTATCCACATCATAATCTAAATCACTATTTTCTTTATCCAAATTCTACTAGCCTTGTTTCTCCCAACAAAAACAAAAAAAATTCTACTAATCTTGTTTCTCAAAAAATATGTTGGGTCTACTAGTCTAGTACCAACATAGAATGCTCAATGCTCCTTCTTTCCATTCTTCGTCCATCTCCTGCGAGACTTCAGGAACAAACCCGGCTTCCTTTAGTAACGCATCCATTTCATCTAATATCCCGTAGATTTCTCTGTTTGGTGGATGGATTTTATCCCCAATGTTGAACTCATGGACCACATAATCCGGGAACTTTCTTCATACCTTTATCAATTGGGAGCTTTCGAATTTTTGCTACTTTGTTCCATCGTTCTGCTGAAGCGTATTTTTTTGGTAGAAGTACATAAGAACTTCGGTTTCCGAGTTCAATCTTAATGAGGTTTTGTGCAAACTGTTCCTCCAGTTCGAGATTCCCATGTATCTTGCAAGCTTTAAGAAGGGACCACCAGTTCACTCCATCAAACTGCATTTTCATTGTGCTTATCATTTCTTCCGCTTCTTTGAATAAACCCGAACGGCCCAAAAGATCAATCATGCACCCATAGTGCTCTAGTTTCAGGGTTATGTTGTACTCACTTGTCATTTATTTGAAGATATGGCATGGCGTCCAAGGCCTAACAAACCTGAATGGCTACAAGCAGACAACAAACCAACAAACGTGATATCGTCTGGTTTAATCCCATTCTTTCTCATTCTTGAGAAAATATCACATGATGCATATCATTGCATTCCAAGAAGAAAAACTTATATTGATCATACCGTTGAACACTTGGTCTCATGCCTCTATGTCTCCACATCTAGAATACATGTCGTTGAGGCCTATCCGGAGAGAAGAATCATTTGTAACAACATCCTTTCAGTTTCTTAACGATATACACATGAAGCCATCTTCCAATATCGATGCCTCCAAGATGTGCACAAGCATGTTTGTAGGAAGCGTTTGAGGCGAGACTGGTAGGCATATTTGTAGCTCTGGATAAGCTATTTGCTTTGCATAATGCGATGTTTCTCGAGTCCATGGTGATCAAATTAAAGCCTTCTTCATCTACTCTTTGTCGATCTTTGTCATCTACATGTTTACAAGTACAAAACAAACTTATACCATAAGGACAAAGCTTTACATTGGGAAGTATCATATTCTGTATCTTTCTCTCGTACCATATTTATGACAGTAGAATGCATTAGTTTAACAAACCTTTTTCATTTAGATGATGCAGGTTTATGCGTTAACTTAGATTTAGAAGTGGTAAGTTTACGTTTTGTGAATGATGCAGAACACCAAGCATGGACTATAAACCTTATGCTGCTTTTACATACATGTATGATTAAATGCATAAATGTATACCTTATGACTAACCAAAACTCAAAAGCTGATACATACTCTTGACTGGAATGCAGGGACTATGAAGTACTAAACCACCATATTCTGTTAGGATTAGTTGATAATAACACGCAAAGCATGAGAGATCTCTGGTGGGATGAAGATACTGAGAGCAAAGCATATTGGACATCTTGGATTGATACAGATTTAACCGACGATGATGAAAATCTTGGAGATCCTCTTTACAAAATTCTAGAAGTGATCAAGGAAAATCTGGTTTCTACTTCATCAATGACTAAAAGATTATATAATTTCCCTCTGCGGTAGCCAGCGATTCTATGAATGCAGTCAAAATTACATACCGTCAGACAGATACTCAGCCACTGCATCAAACTGTATTTGTATGCTGTTTTATAATCTTTTGTTACAAACTCTGAGACTAGTAGTCTTGCTTGAACACATGATGATCTTTGGGAAGCAAATATTAAGCAAGGGTCCGAAACATTTAATCCTAAAACCCCGTTGAGGACAAAGAGAAGAAACGGTGTCCCTCGTTTACAATTGTTGTCAGTAACGGTGTATTCGTCAAGGGTGATGCCAAACGTTTTTTCATCTTCTCGTCTTCACATGATTCTTTGGTTGCCAATCTCAACATGATAATACCTTCAGCGACCTTGGCTCACGGCTCCAAGTGTCCTTCCGTCCATGGCTTTGTCGGTTGTCTTGACACGAGTCAGTTCACTATATGTAACCCTAATACGAGGCAAGTCATTACCTCACATCCTTTGCATACAATCCTATTGATGGTCAATTCAAAGCATTAACCATAGTGTCTCCTCCTCCTTACCATCCTCATGATCCTGGTTTTCTAGTGCACGAGGTTGCAACAATAAAGGGAGACAAAGAATCTTCTTGGCGACGCAATCAAATTACCTCTTCTTCTTATTACCATGTAACTTCGGGACTATGTATCAGTGGTGTTGTGTATTATGCTGGTTGGGCCCCAACACAGAGAGCCAATCCGCTGATTGTGTGTGTTCATATTAGATCTGAGAGGCTAAGTTTGATCCAAGCGCCTAGGGATGCTGTGGTGTACAAGGGTCATTCAGTATTGATAGAATACAAAGGCAAGTTAGCTTCCATTGTGAGAAACCCTCGTGGATATTCACCAGTTTTGATTTATGGATACTAGAGGATGTCGAGAAACATGGTTGGTGCAAGCAAACCTTTGAGCTTCCCTTCCCTTTGGCGAATTTGACTTCCCCGGGAACCAACATGGCTGGTGAAATAATTTTTTCCCCGCAGACTTTGTCACGCTCTGTTCAACCCTTCTACATTTTCTCCTACAATGTTGAAACAAAAGACATGAAAAGAGTTAGGATCCAAGGAATTGCAGACACTGAGGAGTTTAGGCGTCGATATGAACTCGCAGACCAAGGTTGCGTCGTTGTGTCAGCCCAACACTTTGAAAGTATTGCCTTTTTATAATGTCTTTTATCTAAGGATCCTAATGTAAGAGCTTTGGGCAAACTCTCTTGTATGTCAAGACATTGATAGTTGAGATTTGGTTTTACAGAAATAGCGAATCAGGGAAGATAACAGTTAGGTGAAGGTGTGGTCTTGCATTACATTTTGCTTATCTAATCCAACAAATTGATTGTATTTTAAGCTTCTCTTTTCGGTATTTGCATGTAGATCTTGCAGGTTACCTTCACCTAATCGTTCACTTCCCTGTTTCACAACTTTTTCATTGTCTTTGACTTATTTGTTTGTCAAGATTCAAGACAACAATAGCCAAGAACGGTACCTTTTTTTTTGTTTGAAAATAAGAGAACGGTACTTGGGAGCGGATTTTACAAAAGAGTGGAAATGTTAACCGGTAGCGATATGGATCAGTACATTGTACACTATATTGAAGAATAGTAACTTAGGAAACCGTTATTTAATTTTAGTGTATAATCTAGTATATATTTTAATTTGGTGATTATTCATCATGATCCTACACTAAACTTAACTACCTAAAAGACAAGTGCCTCATTTTATGGTTGATACAAGTGTGCCACTAACCAAATCTTAGTTATGACCAAGTGTCTTAAGAATGCCACTAATCAAGTTTTCATATACAAGTGTCATTAGTTTGTACAATCTCTTCCCCTATATGAGGTGAAGCAAATGTAACACAAGAGTGATTAAGAATAAGAAGAGGAAGTTAGCAAGATAGCAATTGATTAAGAGATTTTCATATACTTTCCATAAAATCTTCTCTCTTTGTTTACTTTAAGAACATTTACTTATATATATTGTATCAAAAATCATATAAGCAAACATATATACCTCCATCATATATATATATAGATTAGTAGAGTTTGTATAATATTTTACAACAGTATAATGTTTATATGGAAGAATTAAAGATTAGAAAAAAAACTTGTAATGTCTTCAATCATTAAACCCTTGGTCTGTATAAGTTAACCACGCGCTTGTTGATTGGTTGAACCGGTCTCGCATTCGAATTTTGATCCTGTTAAATAACATTATTTACAATAATGAAAAGGAATGAATAAATTGGACGATAAAATGATCTTAACAAGACATTAATTAGTGTACGTATGAATTGATGAAGAACAAAAAACTTACATCGTGTACAGCTACTCGTAGAAGCCTCACTTGTTTTCTTGTCACGGTCCTAACCTAAATAATTTATCAAAGAAAAAGCATGTGTATTAACTATATATGTAATTAACAGAATTATAAAATGAAGATTGGAAGATAGACAAAGAATAAACACCTTTCTAACGACGCTCCAAGTAACGTTTTGGGTACAAGGAGGAGTGGTAAGTGAACCAATGTATCTGTAATATTTTCTACTTCCGATCTTAATCTTTTTGGGATCAATAATCCGTACATTTTTCTCTGCCTCCTCCATAACAGCAATGCCTTCTAATGCCTTCTCCAACTAATCAATCACAAAGCCAAAATTGAAGAATATATTAGTATATCAATTACAGTTGGTGATACTAGTTAATATGCATGCATTTAATCTAGTATATAGCGAAACTGATAATAATACAGATGCATGCAAATAAATAATGAAGGTTTTATTTGTGTACCATTCTAAGAAAAGTATCTGCTCTTCCGATCTTGTACAACACAGTCACAACAGCCATTCTCCCATTCTTGCCTTCGTGAACCATATGCAGCTCAAGTGCAAATCTGATTTGCAAGTTATTATAATACGTTTAGTTTGTGAACCGAATGAACCAAACCAACCCAAATTGATTTTCTACTATTTTTAATGTAAATTTAATAAATAATTGAGTTATTTCGTAGAAAAATCATTCAAACTGTTTTTCCCAATCTTTTCTTCTGCCTCAAAACTAATTTCAATTTGTTTTTAACTATGTTTAGCAAACAAAATCAAATTTGAATTTGTCTTTTTTTTTAATGGGGTTGGTTACCTTCTTCCATTGACCGTATGCTCGGAAGGAGAGTGCCAGTGAAGCTGTTGGAGTTCGTATTGAAAACCATTGATCTTAATACTTCCTGCTCCTCCTTCAAATCTTAGCTGCAACAATGTTTACAAATAATAATTGAGTTAAATTGTTGTATGCGAATTGTAGACAGTGGCAGAGGGAGGGGGGAGGGGGGGGGTCATGTGACCCCCATAAAATTTATATATTAGTTATTTTTTGTGTAATTTTGATTGGTTTTGGTGAAACATTTAGTAAAAATTAGTCTTTGACCCCCATAAATTAGTGTTTAAATTTCCAAATGCACCATCAATTCATACAATTTATCATTTTTGATTATAGTATTGTAAGAAAAAAAAA